TCCCTGTGTCTGTGGCAGGTCTCGGTATCTTTCTGCCTCCCTCCCTGTGTCTCACGCTGTCGTGGTTGGAAAAGAGCGTCTCTGTCCTGACCTGTCATGCTTTTCCTTCCTTTTCAGAGTGCTTTATGCCTATGCATGAAGACAGCTCAAACGACCAAAAGGCGTACGGGGCTTACATGTGAAGTCTTGAGAGCATGATGTTAGTGGATGGAGAATTATTGGAAGTATCTGCTTTCGTCATTGTTATTTACTCTTGAGTTTATGTTGATTTTTGCTGCAGACAAACCTCCCCTTGAGCACTTGCGGTACTTCTTGGAGTTTCAAATTCCAAAGCAATGGACTCCGGTACCAATGATGGCAAGCAAGAGGGAACCTAATTATCCCAGTCTTCAGTTCATCATGCTTGCCCCAAGACTGTACGTAAGTACAAACGAGGTGAGTACATATCTATGAACCCTCCTAAAACATTCCCCCCAAATAGAAATCCTCTCTCTCCCACTGCTGAGTAGCGGACCTCCGTTTATACCTTGTTCCCCCATCTTGCATTCGTCTGAGGCCATGAGCGGAGTTGAAATGGTCTTGTATTCGTCTGCCACACAGGGCTGTCACATGCATGTGCTATCCCGCCCCCCCCATCTCGTGGACCTCTTTTGATTGAAAGTTTGGTTGGTCAAATGCACTGCTGGTGTTGGGCAAACCATCTCTGTAATTGCTTGCTCTTGGTTAGCATGCTCGATCGGCCAGAAAAGGACGTAGAAAGTGCTTCATCCAACTATTGTGCTAACGCAGTCTGCTCCTTGTTTGGTCTGTGAATGCAACATCAGTTCGGCCCTTAATCCACCAGTACCTATTGTGTTTGTGTTTCTAGTACTTTTTACCAACTTTTAGGCGTTAAAGAAGTGGATGAATCAGCCTGGCACAGGGGTCTGTCTTCATTTGCGTCAGAGGGGCCCAAAGGTAACTGGTGGTTTAAGAATTTTTGCATGCTGTACCATGCCCTTGATTCCATGTTTTAAAGGACGGATGACATAAAAAAGCGTGCGATATCTTTAGTTTTGTGGCCTCAGGACGGTGCACGCTGTGCTGTTGTATTACTCTCATTGTGGCTAGCAAGCATCTGTTTGGTGTCGTGTTTGAAACGTGGAACTGGGAACGTGCGGCGATATGCATAGAACAACTGGCAAACTGTGGTGAAAGAACGGTTAGGATAGTAGTATATCTTCACAAGAATTGGGAGGAGAGTATACCTTCCGTGGATGAAGGATGTTTGGGTCTCTGAAAGACTCTGCATAGATAGATCAATGTCGTTTGGCTCCTCTGTTTCTGTTGCTCTACTGATGGAACGCGTTTTTGGGGCCAGGTCCTGGTGGAGAGAAAGCCTGTGACTGGTCTTCGCTTGGTGCTGGAGGGGGAGCGACATAATCGGCTTGCAATTCACATGCAGCACTTTTGGAGGCTTCCGAAGGTGATGCAGCTAAAATGGGACCCTACGGTAGCCATCGGATCGCACATCTGGAAGGCTCCAGAGGGACATGACTTCAAGTGGTTCAAACCTGTGGAGAACCCAAGGTTTGCTTGGGTATCAGAACTTCCCATTCAGTACCCAAGCAACTGGCTTGCGGAGCGAAGTGGTGCTTATATTGTCACAGGAGCACAGCTGCAGGTAAGAGTGGATGTTGTTATTTCAAACTGTTTTCACATGTCTGTCTGAATTATTTGGCTTGGGGGGTCTCAGTTCAGATTGCAGGATGCCACTCACCTGCATCAAGGCAGAATCGCTAGTAATCGCCAGTCAGCCATACGGCGGCGAATCCGTTCCAGGGCCATGTACACACTATGGGAGCCAAGTTCAAATGCCCGAAGTCGTTACCTGACCTTCAATTACTACTGACTGGCATAGCTCAGTTGGTACCGATGAACTACCGTCTTCGCCCGAATAGAACGCCTGGTAATTATCGCGGTATCTGGACTGAATATTGCAGCAAATACGGCTATAATGACGGGACGTTCTATTCGGGTGGAGACGGTAGTGAAATACAGACGGACCCAAGTTCAACTCCTGGAATCAGATTAGTGAAAATAGTTCGGTTGGGGTTTGTGAATGCACCTCTGTTACTGCACTCTGCCTCGTTTGCTTGTTGGGAACACACATGTCAGGACTTGCCTGGATTTCCAGACTCGAGGTACACACATCCTGACTTGGTTCAGGAAATGCAGCTGTCCGTGTACACACATCCTGACAGAGATTTGTTGCAAATTGGAATCAAGCAGAGACTTTAGTTAAGTACTTGCAATTTAGACATCCGTGGGGTCTCTCCATGTTCAATTTTATAGCATGGGCCTTGGTTCTTGCAGGGTTTTCGTTTTTATGTAAACCACAAATTCATCAGGGCCTATTTCGACAAAGCAGAAGTTGCATTTCCCAGAGCCTGAAATCTACACTGCCGCAGCGAGAGAAAATAGTTGTGGTACCCTCTTCCTTCGCCACTGAACGTGTACCAGGCCTGGGCACTATAGGTTTTGGCACCGGTACTTGCAGGCAAGAAAATTTTGAACAGTGCAGGGGCTATTGAAGTGCTGGTTTAAACCACCGGTACTTCCTAAAGTCGTGCCCGTTAACGCGCCACGATTTTAGGAAACGTACGGGCCACTACAGGAGCGTCCAAATTCATCCGACTAGATACGTTTCTACTCTATTTTTTTCCGCGGCCGATCGCTGGGCCAAGTACTGGTGGTTTAAACTCGCCACTCCATGCAGACCTATTTTGACAAACGGGCGCTGGCCTTTCCGGGAGACTAAAATCTACGGTCACCAGTACTTCCTAAAGTCATGCCCGTTAATGGGCCACGATTTTAGGAAACGTACGGGCAACTACAGGAGCGCCCAAATTCATCCGACTAGAAACGTTTCTACTCTATTTTCTTTCCGCGGCCGATAGCTTGGCCAAATACTGGCGGTTTAAACTTGCAACTCCATGCAGACCTATTTTGACAAACGGACGCTGGCCTTTCCGGGAGCCTAAAATCTACGGTCCCTCTGTGACGAAAAATAATTGTGGTACCCTTCTCCACCAAACCTCTGCAAGGCCTGGGCATTGTAGATTTTGCCCTGGTGGACAAGAAAAATCAACAGTGCAGCGGCGGTCCGAGTGGCGGTTTGACCATGAATGTACGTTGACCGTTGACAGGATTTTTATCATTTTCAGTTTTTATTTATTTAATTTTTAATTTTTATTTTTTATCTTTTTGGGGGGACATAAGCTCCAATCTATTCGTTGACGGTTGACATGAATTTAAGGGCAGGCATATCGAGATGGCAAACCCGCCATGTGCTTCTTCCTGATTAACCTTATGGCATGACACCAGGTTCGGATACTTGTGCGAAGTTATAGATCTCCTCGACTCGCCAACAACCCCCCAGCTTAAGTCATCGTTCTGATGAGAAAAGGGCCTTCTTGATTGATTGATCTTATGCGCGGGGCCGTAAACAGCCCGTACATCGTGCAGCCGAACTTGAGAATAGAGGTTTAGCCAGTAGGAAAATTTCAGAGGCGTGGGGTAGCCGGGCGCCAGCTATGGGCAACAATAGCTGGCGGCACCAACCCGAAAAGTAAAAGAAAAAGGTCCGCTGCTGTTTTTCAACATGTGGATCCTTTGAAAGAGTCGACAATTCTTTCTTTTGGCTGTTGATTTCTTTGTCCTTTTCTTTTCTTTGAAAATAAAAGTCATGGTCGAACCGACTGGCCCCAGGTTATTCAGAACCATCAATGGCATTCACCTGAGTTGGAACTTTGGTCTCCATTTCAACAGTTTGTGGGTTTACCGTGTACAGAGAGATCTATACCTGTCGTTTAGATTGCGGTTCTCGAAGCCCTCTTGCTTGGTATTGTAAGCCTTCGGAAATTTTGGTGTGGATGGATGATGGGTGTTTTGAAGCTGGCTGGGGTCGTGTACTGGCGATTTAAAATTGAGCGTTTTCTTGGTGGCACTGTCCTGTAACAGGTGGATCCTTTCAAAGACACAAAAATTCTCTCCCTTCGACTGCGGTTTTCAAAACTTCCTGGGTGCTCGATTAGGCGGTCGGTATGGGACGTGGAGCCGGAGTCATCGCAAGAATGCCCTCGCAGACTGGGGATCACAGGGCAAATGCTTAGCCTTTGCACAGATGTTGGTCCTCCATCGACAGAGTATCAGCATGTTGGGGAAATGCTTGCTCCGGGGGATGAAATTCAGGCACCAGCTCCATTGACAGGTCCTACATATTTCAGCAGGAATATTCGAACGGACGAAATGAAGCGAGGCCCGAACAGCTCGCCGGGGCATTGGCTTGTGACAGGGGCCAAACTCCATGTCCACAAGGGTAAGATCTCTCTGCATGTTAAATACTCCCTCTTGCACTATTGACAGCTTGACATCCGGTCTTAGGGAAAGCTTCAATGGGTCTGTCTCTGTATGGCCGGCCCATGTATGTATTTGTTGTGAGCATCATCTCATGTGCTCGGTGTATGTGTGTCCAGGGGAGAGAGAGAGAGAGAGAGAGAGAGAGAGAGAGAGAGATGTAAGGCTGGACAGGGTTGGCCACAAAAGAGAGAAGTGTGGATTTATGCGGAAGTGGGGACCACATACCTAAAGCCCCTCTGCAAAAAGAGTGGACTCTGGGAGGATTGAATTTTCACTTGTACACGAAGGGATCCCTGGAGGGTACAGAGGATGTGGAGAGAGAGAGAGAGAGAGAGAGAGAGAGAGAGAGAGAGAGAGAGAGAGAGAGAGAGAGAGAGAGAGAGAGAGAGAGAGAGTTGAGAGGGGAAAGAATGGACCAAGGTGTGAGGGCCGAAAATCAAGTGGAGGGAAAATGCGAAATGGACGAGTTTGTGAGGTCTCTCATTCTGGTTCGGGAACTCTCTCATTCATGTTTGGTGCCAGAGGCCAAGAAGACATGTTATGGGAGATGGGAGTATGAAAAATGGGAGATGGGAAGATGGAGGATGAGTGTAAGGAAAGATGGGAAGCACATGGGAGGAGCAAAAAGGAGAGCATGTGGAGGGAAAGTGTCGATGGAGGAGTTTGTGGACTCCTCCAATCTATTAGCTATCCAGGTTTGTTCATGTTAGTATATGTTCGCAGACCAGATAGCTATTCAGGAAGTTTCCTTAGCCTTAGGTCAATATGTCAGAGTATTCAAGGAGAAAGAGGCGGTCAATATGTCAGAGTATTCAAGGAGAAAGAGGCGGGGAAGGTGGTGAGCTGGACAGCCGGGGGGGGTGTGGGGATGGGGACGGGGGGTCGGGCATCGAGGAGGAAATTTAGTGTTCCATTGCGAAATGGATCTCCGTAGAGGTAGCAAAACAGGGCGTGGTATTTCCTCTGCATATGGGGAGGGGTGAGATGATGGAGGAGTACCAGGGCACGGATGACCGCATGCCTTTTCGAGGAGGCAAATGGGTAGAAATACCCACAATGGCAGGAAGGTAGCAGCCGGCACGTTCCTCTGTTCGAGGAGGAAATTTAGTTACACAGGTAAATTTTTGTCTTGCTGCGGGGCTTTGTCATCAACACACGTTTATCCTGTCTTCTTCTGATGTGAGCTTTGATTCATCGACTTTCTTGCGACTTCTCCTGGTGTTGGTCCTCTGCGCATTCGCATTCGCGATTTCTGCGTAACGTGAAAGGCGCAGAATGAAAAAAAAGTTGCGTGTGCAAAAAAGTCGCCGTTCATTGCAGGTATTGTTTTTCGAATACACTGCAGAAAATGTTATTTCTGAAGATGTGAGAAGCTTAATGCATGCAGTGAAACGACAAGTCAAGCTCAATCAAGTCACACTTGAAATTGCACACTTGAGATTCACACTTCACACAAAAAATATCTCAGTACAGAGTACTTTGGAGTACAAAGTACGTTCAATTGCATGTCCGGTGGGTAATGGCTACCCCACCGGTGTCGACCGCGGCCGCACGGTCGTGCTCAGGGGGCTTACTACCTTCTTCGACCCGTTTCTACTCCACATTTCCACTCACCCCCATCCGCTGTTGACCGGCGGACGTCTCCGGAAACATCCGCAGGTCGATTAGCGTCAATGAATCCGGCATTCCCCCCTTCTCTTAGTTATAGACAGAGGGATGGGGTTGAGTATGCAATTGTGGTCGGAACGGTTGTGATTGGAGCATGGTGTGGAGTGTGCCGATTCGTCAGAGTGTAATGGAAGCTTTGGGAAATTCTCGCTCTGCGATTGAAGAGGACCTCGATTACCTGTGGATTGTGCTGATCCGTCAGTGTAATGCAAGCTTTGGGAAAAGTGACGGTCTGCGATTGAAGCGGGGACCTCGATTACGTGGGACCAGATCATGCGGGCCCAGGTGGTGGTAAATGGCTCTGGTTTGTTTTACTATAATCAGAAACGGATGACCAGGTGGCCGGGAATATGGTTGCGCAGCGGATGGAGGACATAACCAGGGTAGTTCAGATGCTTCTGAAGCTGATGGATCTCTGTGCTTTGCTGTTGTAGAGACTTGCTACGGTTTGCTTGTTGTGCCACTTTGACGTCATCGGATTTGACTGATGTTTGAGAAAGTGCTCGTATGGCTTCTTCCGCACACACTGAACGCCTCCTCACAAGAGCGTGTGTGCGGAATACGGAATTCATTCGTGAAGTGTAGAGTTGGACAGGATTACTAGTGTTGTGTCCCGCTTGGCAGCGATCTTCTGGATTAGAATGCAGAGGAAGGCTCGTTTGAGCTCGGACACAGGTTCTTCCCCGAGCTGAATGTGGGTTTTCACTGGTCTCCAATTGTTGTGCCCGTTTTAGCAGGAAAGCAGCGTAGATTTCCCCTGTCACGCCAGATAAATTGTTTGCGATAAGGTAAAGACGCACCAGGAGAGACTTTTGACCGGGGTAGGTAGAGTTTCTTGTGCCTAGAACCAGCAGCAGCAGAAAGCTTTGTTTTATCCTGCAGTTCACCCCCTATTTTTCTTGCAGCCTGTGTAGACTCCAAGTCAAATTCTTTCTTCCTCGAATCTGCTGCAAAAATGGCTGAGCTTGCTTCTGAACAATTTTATTCTTTGGTGATCCGTCCTGTCATCGGGTGCCAAACGTCAGGATTCGTTAGCTCATGGCCCAACAACCTCCTTCATCACAATGTTTGCAGACTTCTTGTGGCATAAAGGATAAAGGTTGGCTGTGGGAGTGTTTTGTTTAATCTGCACACGACTCTGCGCTAATAACATCACAAGGTTCAGCACTGTGTGCATTCGCATAAAGGGTCAGCAACACAGAATGGTGTTGTGATGCAGGGATGCTGCATCCAACCTTTTGTAATAGAATTCAAACTTTTAGGTGTTTTGGGGGAGAAGGGTATCATCTCTTCCTTTGTCATGATGATTGATGACTCGTTCAGGGCTAATCATATAGCCTCGTGATGAGTCGGTGAAACTCCGATGAGACAGTTTGGCACTGCACGCTCCCGCTCGTTTGTTGTCCTCTTCTCGGTCACTGCCTACGGTCTACCGGGCAGCTCTGTTTGACTATATATATATATATATAAATATCAGTCTGCGGTAAGCGGGAAAGACAGGTGGGCAGCATTATCCCTTCCTGCAGTTTTCGCGTTTTGAGAACGGTGTGGCCATGTCTGTTCTGCGTTGGAGGATCTTGATAATGTTGATGATTTGACAATGTGTATGAGAATCAAGTCTCATGATTGAAGGGAGATTCTGTACTTTTCGCTCTGTAGACCCAGAACTCTTGTTCTTTTTTCTTATGTACACCTTCCATTTTTGACCCATTTTGTGGGAGCTCTTCCACTGTGCTCCTCCTGCTTGTATTTCCTTCCTTCCTTCCTCCGTCTCTCTCTCTCTCTCTCTCTCTCTCTCTCTCTCTCTCTCTCTCTCTCTCTCTCTCTCTCTCT